CTCAATGGGAAGAACAAGATCCATGCCATTAACACGTATGCCCTGCCAGTCATCAGATACCCTGCCGGTATAGTGAGGCTGCCAGTTTGAAGACCTGGAAGCTCCTCACAATGTACGGAGGTTTCCACCCCAAGTCCAACACCCAGAGATTGTACACTGCAAAGAGGGCAGGTGGGGTCTGATGAGTGTCAAAGCCACTGTTCTGGATGAAACCCAGAGCATCCAGGAGTACATGACTAAGATGGCACCGAAAGATGAGCTGCTGAGAGAATGCCTTAGGCAGCAGCAGACATGGGAGGAAGTTCTAGTGGAGGAAGTACCATGGCAAAACAAGCCCCTGCATGGGATGTACCATCGACAGATAGCTGAGGTGGCTGACACTGGGAAATCCTACCAGTGTCTGGAAAAGGCTGGACTAAAAGACAGCACTAAGCACTGATCATAGCAGCACAAGAACAGGCACTAAGCACCAGATCCATAGAAGCAGTGGTCTACCACACTAGACAGGACCCAAGGTGCAGATTGTGCAAAGAGACCTAAGAGACAGTCCAACACATAGTGACAGGGTGTAAGATTCAGGCAGGAACACTGAATGGCACAACCAAGAAATTGGCATTATGTACAGGAACATCTGCAGATTGTATGGGCTAGACACCCCCCCAAGTCCAGATGAGAGATTCCACAGAAGGTCGTGGAGAATAACAGGGCTAAGATCCTGTGGGACTTCCAGATCCAGATGGACAGGCAGGTACTGGCCAATCAACCAGACACTGTGGTAATAGACAAGGACCAGAAGACAGAGGTGGTGATAGATGTAGCGGTGTCAAGTGATAGCAACATCAGGAAGAAGGAATATGAGAAGCTGGAGAAGTACCAGGGTCTGAAGGAAGAACTAGAGAGGATGTGGAAAGTAAAGACCAAAGTGGTCCCAATGGTGGTAGGAGCACTAGGGGCTATGACTCCTAAGCTGGGAAAGTGTCTCCAACAGATCCCAGGAAGAACATCAAAGCTCTCTGTCCAGAAGAGCGCAGTGCTAGGAACAGCTAAGATACTGCACAGAACCCTCAAACTCCCAGGCCTCACATACCACCCACAGAGGTGAGAGGGGAATATAATATATAAAAAGTGCATAAAAGCATTCTAGTAACACAAAGCCTATTCACAATATCATCTATTTAGCATATTTATATAGCTGTCCATCTCACAAAAATGTGACTCTGAATGGTATACAGCATTATGACAGCTAAAAACTATATAACAATCTAAAAGACAGATATTAGTGAGCTGAGTCCTGGCAAAAATTCATCACAAAAGCAGTAAGTAATTAACTGTAGCATATTTATTATCTAGTGAAATAATAATAAAGAATAGCTCTCTTCTTCATTTAAGGATATTTCTACATTAAGAGAGGGAAATAATATTTTGTGGCTCAGTCTCATAAAAAATGTGTTGAAATGCCAAATTCTAAATGCAAAGTTTACTGTTTCGTCTGTGAAGCTGCACTTACAGGAAAAATAGGGCACACTCAGAGAGCTAACTACCAAATCTCTCTTGGATATATCAGAATATGTGCTGCCTTCAGCAAAAAAGATTATTCTTTCTGAAGCTGATCCTATGAACCTAAAGGAAATTGCACTTTTCCACATCTGTTATGACTGAAAAACATGTATCAGGGCTGGTAAACTAAACAGGTTTTTTTCTTCCAAGCTACTGGTACTCTGAAAACTGTTGGGTGAATGAAATTTCAGTAAATATAATAAGAAAAGGTTTACCTGTATATGAATATCATGAGCCTCTGCCAGGTTACCAAGGCCACTAAGTAACTCCTCTGTACAAGATAGTCCAAAACGGGGTGTTACTATAGGAAGTATTCTTGGATACTAAGGATATTCAAGTAATAGAAAAGATAGACAATAAATATGCGAATACAACAGCATTTTAAGCTATACCTATTACTGTATTCATATTAACATGTGTCGTTAACCATGATTAAAAGGGGCTTTAAGCTTATTTCTATCCCGCTAATACTAAACCATAATGTACCATAGCAAAACAGTGATTATTAGCTAGTAAGAACGAGCACTAAGTGTATCCAAATTCAGGCTTTAACTAATAATTATATACAGTGCTATTTGATTCTAGAATGTCTGCTGATTCACATCAAGCACAAGATTAATATAAAAAGAGTTATTATTTTCATATATTTATAATGATAACCAAATGCAATCAAAAAGATATATTGTGTGAAGTTATCTAGAAAACAAGTTAAATAAATAAGGGAGAAATTGTTATTTTTGGAAAGCACCAATGATGAATATTTTCTCATATCTCTAACAAAACAAAATGTCCACATAACAACCCTAAAAAATAAGCCACTGATATTAACTATTTTACAAAAATAATTTATAGAAGAGGCAGTAAAATTAACCTTCACTAAATTCACTGAAATTAACTTTTTTAAAGTTTAGAATTCATTCCAAAAGTAGATGTGACAGTAACTGACTCAATTATTTGAATGTCATTCTTGCTGCCTTTTTTTTTAAAGGTGCCAAAGTTTTCTATCTCCTCTCATTACCTATGATCCAGCTTTCTTCAATCTACAACCTGACATATTAGAAGTCAATCTGAAAATGAGAAAAAAGCTGTGTAGTGGGGAAGGAAGAACGGTTATGAGAATGGGGTCCTATACCAAAAAATAGATGGGGAACAGGATAATGAAATGGAGGGACCAGGATAAAACTATATCTAACTTTATATTTTTCAAATTTAATTAAACACAGCTAAGGTTTAATAATGTTCCCTTTCTATCAGATTAAAACTTTCAATTTGATGTCAACTTTTGGCAGAGCTCTGAAAACTAAAGTAACACCTTCTGTAGACAGATACCATTCTGGGCAAAACATTAGTCAACCTGTCCTCCAGATGTTTTGGGTCCAGCTCCTATAATCCTTGACTTGTAGCAGTATAGGAATAGGAGTTCAATATAAAACATCTAGACAGTACATGGTTTCATATTCCAAGATCATTTTGTTCCAAAAAAAACCCCAATACAAAGTATAAAGTAATTATATATACTGTTCTGAGGAAGAAAACTCAGCTTACTTACTTTTTTTCCCAGTATTTCTTGAACAAATCTGAAAAGATCAGAGAAGGGAATTAGAAAGAGATTTATAAATGGATGTGTGAGCTGTGTGATCAACCATGAAATCAACTTTTTCAATCTGGTGGGCTCCATGTGGGTTTGGACTACAACTTCCAGAATTCCCTGTTGTGATCCCAACACATCCAAAGGATGCTATATTCGGAAAGACTGCAGCAAATCAACACTTTCTGTCGAAGTTAATGAGATTGTGCAAATGTGCACCAGCTCAGGATTTTGCTCTTAAATGTGCACAAGCCGTTGATAATTAACAGTAGACAACTGGTTATTACTATGTTTCCTGTGACAACTAAATAGATAACATACAAAATCAAGTGAAAGCATAATTGTATATTATAGCTATGACCATATTTTTTACAAAGTAAGAACTTACTTTGGCTCTGTATCAGAAAATTGAAATGTCCTATTTTTATAAGCTGTATTTTATATGGCATAAATATGCTTCATTGACAATACCCTGAAAATGTGAAGTCTGATTTTAGATCTGTCCTTCATTCACTTAGTCAGTACTATCTCTCTTCCCACAGCTTCTTTAGAAACACTTAACTGCTTTTGAGCAGTAGGGAGAAACAAGAATTCTTCTTAAAATCTTATAAAGATAGATCAGGTACGGGTGAGTACCACAATCATAGCATTATGATAGCTAATATAAATCTTAAGGTAATTCAATACATTGCTCTTTCTAAACCAGTTATATACAGACATAGCCACAAACACTTCTGGTTAGTTTGCATTTTGTACTACAAGCTATTTAAAATATGGGTGCTAAAGTCATGTTCCTGAACATACTGTTTTCAAATGCATAAAAATATTTCATTACTAACCTGCCTAGAAAAATGTGTGAATTGGTCTCATGTCTCTTAGTAGTTTATATTTATACCAAAGCATACTGTAAGTATTGCTGGTCAGCAACAAGATTCTTAATGAAGCTTATGCATTAGTTGAATTTTTCCTTGTTCAACAATTTGATAGAATCATCATCATCATCATCATCATCATCATCATCAGTAGTCTCACACAAATGCTTGGAAACTGTAAAATGGGGAATTACCTTTTCACCTTACGTATAATTTCCAATTTACTTTAATGTTGCTATTACAGTACTTTTAGAAAGAAAAATACACAACTCACTTCAATTTTCTCTCATTAAGCTAAATTCTATCCTCTGAAACAAGATTCTGCAGTTGTGCAGGAATCACAACTCTCTGACAATAGGGATTTCCACAAGCCCAGTTTGGTTCCCAATTCAAATTGAAAAAGCTATCCCAATCACCCATTCCTAATTAAACATAGGGTTCAGTCCAAATCTCAGAATTTCTTATTGGCTATATTGGAATTCAACAATAAATATTACTTTTTTTATCTCACAGCAATTGGATAAAATATCAAGGAACAGTAAAGTGTATTAGATTTCATAGAACAGAACAGGGTGAAGAAGTTTGCTCTAATAACTAAGTATTTTTGTTTTTGTTTTTAAAGAAAATATCAGTAGCTATTATTTTAGGAAGGACCACATGTAATTGACTGTTCTTAGTTGCTCAGGCCAGTCATGTTTCTTATGAGTAGATTCAGGGGTTTCTGTGCAAATACAGTAGTAGTATTTCTGATATACAGAGGTGTTTTTTTTTAAGTTTATAGTATATACCAGTGTTTCTCACCTTGGAAACTTTAAGATGTGTGGATTTCAACTCCCAGAATTCCCCAGCCAGACTTGAACATTTAGCATTTTCCAAGGAACCACAAATACTACATTATACCAGTCCCATATATTCTATCATAACTTATTAGCTTTCCAATTCCCAGGGTTAGCATAAAGCATTTACCACTGGAATGCCAATGCAGTATTACCTTAGCATCCTTCTTCAAAGCCCTACTAATGGAAACCTTTTCTTCCTTTTGTAGTTCTCCATATATCTGATTGGCCCTGATGTTGCTGTCCTTTCTAAAAGCATTGAAGGCACTGATATGTTCCCAGGCTTGGGGGTCAGGTAGTTAATGGGAGACCATGTGGTTGTGGCTAAATTTATTGTAGAATTTTATGTCATCTGCCTTCAATTGTTTTCTAATGCTGTTTTAATCTTTATTTGGATTATGCTTTTATATGTTGTTAGCCACCTGGAGTTGCTATGGCAAGATGGGTGGCTATATAAATTGAATGAATGAATGAGTGAATGAATGAATGAATCAATCAATCAATCAATCAATCAATCAAAGTGGCTACATAGGAATTAAGGAGCAGAAGGATGTCTCTTCACATGAGCAGAAATGTGCAAATATACTATTATGTACATAAATCATCCAGAGCTGTCTGAAATACATTATTATATATCTTTAATACTTGAATTTTCACAAAAATGTAGCATTAATCTACTTATATCTTAATGTTATGCACACATGAGCTCTGAGTTAAGTTCAATGACCTTTAAGAAGTTAGAAAAATTATATGTCCATAAATGTTGTATATCAATACAGGCATTAGTTTCTCTATAGCTACCTTTATTCTTTTTCAACAAGTTTATTTTGGCAACATTTTTGAGAAAATCCCAAATACTGTGATTTGGGATTTTCTCAAAAATCCACTGTTATAGGAGCCTATTAGAAACATGTAAAATAGAAACAGATGCCATATGTTAGTCTTTGCTTTAATCATTAGTAATCCATGTCCTCTTTCTTTCATCATTCTTAGAAAATGCTGCTGCCTGAATTATACAGGAAGAAGTATCTGCCTCACCTTTCAGTTTCCTCAACTGATTCTGTGGTGGCCTCCTTGTATTCTGGGAAGCTCTCATTGATATCCATGCAAACTTTACCCACAAATGCCCTCTGGCCAAATTTATCTGTAAGGAATTAAGGAGAACAACAGTTAGAATAATTTTTTTGATCCACATTTTTAACAAGCTCTTAAAAAAAAAAATTGCCAATAAATTTTGCTTTTACAAGCATACTTCATAATTGCAGGCATTAATTTGGAATATAGGAGTTCCATGCAATTAATGATTATTTCCCTGTATAGTTTAGGTGTTTTTAGCTATACCATTATAGTTCCCCCTCTGAAAGCAAGTGTTTATAAAATATAAGCTCTAATATAATGTGGTTACCACTGTGAGATATGAACTCTAAGTTCCTTAGTTTAAGTCTTATTTCATCTGTAAGCAGAACAAAGTACTCCAAACATTCAAAAGTGCTATATAAATAGAAGGTAAATAAAAATAACAGTAGAAAAATGCACACTTATGGAAGCATTTTTACATGATAGCGATGAAAACCATACACTTAATTGGGCTTTGTTTGTTTGTTTTTAGTAATTAGATGAATTCATGTTAGCTTTGACAGATGAGTGCAACCCTTATTGGCTAAGAGCAAAGAATGACTATTTTCATTATATCTAGTTGGGAAGTTTCCTAGATAAAATTTATTGACTGCTGATAAAACAGAATGTACAATTTGAATGACACTCTTCAGGTGATCCAGCAAATTAATCCCTAATTCCAAATTATTAACCACACAGAAAATACTTGAAGCATTGAAGTGTGTTACAGTTAGCATAAGAAAAGCATTAATTGATCCAGTTCATAATAACAAAGGCAATCTGAAATATATTTGGAGCTTCTGAAAATTTCCCATTACCTGTAAGAATAGGATCCATTTGGAATTTTTGTTTACTTTTTCTTAAAAGTAAAATAAGATCTTAAGTTCCACCAACTCACAAACCAGATACAAAATAGTGAGGTGGGCATACAGACATATACTAAGAAATAATATGATGCCTCATACATTCAGTCCAGGAATTTGAAATCAATAGTAGTCCTGGTTTTACTTCCTGTGTCCCTTTTCCAGCTATTAATTTGAGAAGGAAATACTTTTTAATTATTGTTATTATTAGGTAATTGGAATTCAGAAAGCCTTGCTAGTCTACTCTTAATCACTGACCAATAAATCCCAATTTATCTTCTGCTGGACCATTCTAAAAGTTCTTGACAATCTTACCTATAATATCAGCAAGAAGCAAAGTAGCATCTGTGTGAATTGTGGCAAAATAGCAAGCTGTAGTTGTACCATTCTTGAGTGTTCGCCTCTGCAGAAAAAAAAAACCCCTCACAATTTATTTGTTTCAGGAAAGAATAATGCAGCATTATTAAAGAATAATTTAAAAAAAGAAATTTTTTTATTTCTTACTTGTGTATTAATTTAACAACATATCTAATGTGTATCCGTATTTAAGCTGAATAACTAGTATGTGGGTGCTTACAGTTTATACACTCTCATTTTACTTTGTACAACTGTGTTAATTTGTTCTGAATTTTCCTGAAATATGTATTTTTATAAATAATATCTACTTGCATCTTGTCTTTTCATATGATGGGTTTGATTTCCCAGAGAAAATAGAAGAAAAACAAGACAACTTATATTAGGAGGATGGAAAGTAATAGAGTAATTTTTTAAATTGATTATAGAACTTAGACTACATCATATTTAATGAACTCTAAGCAGCTAGATGTGTGACTCAGCCCCATTTCTAACCTCTCATAAATCCAATCTAATCAGAGTGGCCTTCCTTTTTAAATCCCACAGATTTCAAAGAGAAATAACTACACATACATATCTCATTCCACCACTGAGCTCAGTTGCACTTAAAAATGGCTAGGTCATGAGCAGAGATTCTTTAAAAATTATGCACAAAATTATGCAAGCATCTAATAATTAGTATTTCATAAAGTATTCTACCAAAACAACACTATTCTATTCAGTTAGCCTTTCCTGTTTTATATATCCTATATAACTCAGCTATTATCACTCATATGCATTTAAAGAGTTTAAGAATATTCCATGCAAAACTAATTTTAAAAAACATTGATTTCTAGCTGCATAAATGTATGTGTTCACTAGGGCTGTGCAGCATTTTGGATTTGATTCCTCAAAGCTGTTTCAGAAAGTGTGGAGTCTGTCTGCAACTCTTTAAAGGAGCCATGTCTTTCCCAGAATTGTGCAGGTGATCTCTGCAGCTGTTTTAAAGAGCTGCAGATGGGTGCTGTCTTATTTCTGCAGTACCTTCTTGAAATCAAATCCAAATCATTACCCAACCCTGTTACATCTTCCTGAGTTCAGTGGTGCTTTTTCCAGAAAACAGGGTTAGCATTCAGCTTTATCTGCTCATGCTTTGTTTATCTGGGGAACAGGCCATGACACAGAGATTAATCAGTGGCTTTAGAAGGTGCTTACTATATATTCCAACTGATCCTTTTTAATTCATGAATTATACATGCTGAACTGTAAGGATCAGGAAGAATAACTGCTCTTTGTATGTTTTTATTGAATGTAGAAATGAAGAATTCAAAATAAGTTGATAATCATATAGGATTATCAAATTATTATACCAAATTCAGCAAAACCTTCTCCAAATATTCTTTTTTTATAGTTGCAAACTATAATAGTAGTAGGGAAAGAACCCTGAGATTATTATGGTGATAAGGAAAAAGGTACAAGAGAGAGAGAGAGAGAGAAAGAGAAAGAGAGAGATAGGGACAAACTGACAAGTAGATAGACAGACAGATCTGACTTACCACAGCTCTAGTATACACTTCTTCAGCAAAATCAAGTTTTTTGAATTCAGCCTCTACTGGATAAGTGTATTTTTCCAACCATTTCAAAAGAGTCAGATTTCCTCGTATCCCTGTAAAGGAATACTGTGGGGCATGGATATGTGCATCAACCAAACCTGGCATGAAGAATTCACTGGGGAAGAAAAGTATGAGAAACAAACACATCAACTTTCCAAATATTATTATTTGCATTTCATTAAGTCCAATGGTGTCTGTAACAAACTGTGATATCAACATCACAATACATTCATGATGATGTTATCATACAAATGTTGCAATTACATATTACATCATGATGTTGACACAAGTACATAAGCATTTGCGTGATGACATTATCATGCATATGTTGTCATTTGCTCCTGCTTCCTTCAATCTGCAGAGCCCATAATAGACAAAGGCAGTTTTACAAACTGGCAGGTTCAGCTTCTGCTCATAATAAACTGTTTCATAGGGATCTACAAAATGGGGTGGGCGGGTGGGGTGGGAGAGACATGCTGAAATAATAAAGCCTGCTACACAACCCATGCTATCTCCAAGCCATTCTATAAGACATGATATATTTAGTCTACTCTTCTCTGCACTACACAGGTACCATTACTGCTGGATAAATGAGGAGCTGGGAGATAGGAAGCATACTAGCAGTCAACCTGTCCTACAGTATGGGAGTAATGTGCTAGAAAATGGAGGTGAGGTTGGGAAGAAAAGTTGACTTGTAATGGCTGTGGAGGAGTCAGGGTTTTTGTAACCTATTTGCACTGTACCACAGTTGATTAGAAAGCAGTGGCCTGAGAGCATCAGGGCTGTTTCAGGCAGAAAATGTGGGGCTTTCCCTGTATATAACAGACCTGAGTGATCTGTAAGCCTTTTCTATAATTCAGTCCTCCCAGAAGCAGTGGGTTATGAGAGGTTGTAGCAAAGGTGCTGATTTGGAAAATGTTGAATGTTTAAGTAGAGAGTCTTGTTTGGCTCTTTGTTTTGCTTCTGCCATTTATCTGCTTGTGTCTTTTATAATCAATTGTTAAGAAAATGATCCAGAAGTTGTCCTACCTAAAAACCCTGTATAATTACTGAAGGACAGACAGTGTTTCTTGTGTAACTTCCTTCTCTTTGCTTTCTTTGTGTTTTGCCACATGACTGTACCAAGGTATTGATTTAAAAGAGCTGTTCTCTGCTAACAAAGTGAAAGTCATTGTAAACATAAATAAATTGTCATAGCCACTAGAGAGATTATGATCTACAGACAATAAGTAAACTCTACACCCCATGAATTATAGCTTTAGGTGATGATAGGGCCTAAGTAAACTGCTTCAGGCAAAGCTGGTGACTTGTACAGTATTTAAGAATTTATTGAGTTCTGCTCAGACATTAAGTACTGGTTTGACCACTCTTGAACTCCGCAGTGTTGTAGTCCAGGAGCAAGGATTTGCCTAAAATCTGCCTTTCCAGTGGCAAATTACATTCTGCTGATTCTGTTGACAGAAGCAACATAGTGTGAAGTAGGGCAGCTGAAGAAATATCAATAAAGGCAGCATGCCTGCGTGTATGTGTTCCCAGTAAACTGGGAAACCTCTCTGATTTAACATGAGTGGGTAGTAAGAATAACGGTTGATTGGCTGACATAGTCGACAAACATCCTGGCATTCTCTGCCCACAAAATTGGACAGAACATTTTGATACAAATTCCAGAGAAGAAATTAAAGGTAGGGACAATTTCTGGTTCAAATATCAAAACCACATAGGCTCAGATAATAACGTTATCTGTTTCTGACAAAGGAACCCTTGACATCATAGATAAATAGAAGATATTTCAAACTATAATTTATTGTTTATGACAAGAACGGAACCTTAGCATCTTTCTTGTGCAGTAAGATTGCTGCAGTTACAATATCAAGACCTAGCAACCCATACAGGCACACAGATTGTGCCCATCACTGGATGTGTCTCTAAATTACATAATACTAAACCAGCTCCCTGAAAAATATTTTTGTTATACCACATCTTTCATATATTATTCTCAGCATTTTATCTTATGTGATTCATGAACATTCCAGCAAATATCCAGACCTTTTCTGGTTATATTAATTCTGTATCAGTTCTCTCTTATATTAGATAATAAGATTTACTGTCCTTTGATACTATTAGATCTTAATATTCATAATATTTGAAAGAAACCAAACCTGAATTTTTCAAAAACGCATTATTATATTTCTGTATCAATTCATTTTTTCTTTTTCTTTTCTCCTTTTGCTTGCTTGTTCTCTCTTTTTTTTTCTAAACAATGATTAATAAATAAACAATGCATTATTTAATTTCAGTGTACTTCTTTTACTGGATTGAGATGAAAGTATTACTCAGCTACTCAGCTGAGCAAGTCATGGGCACAAATATTCATCTCACTCACTGAAACCTAACCTTCTTCACTTGCACAGAAAACTAAAACAAAAAGACATCATGCTGCTCCACCAATTTTTTTACAACACAAGACAACCTATGCTTCTTACATCGGTTGAAACTTGCAACCTGTCCTAGCAAAGATTTTGAAATATAAATATAAAATTAACATTTTTGCCATACTAAAAGAACATTTATGTATTCAGTTCAGACTAATATAACTGCATTTATTGAAAGTAAAATCCATATTCTTAAGCCATAGTTACCACTTTGGAGCAACCATTTCATTGGAATGGCTGGCTGTACAACGGCATATTTGACATTATAACTGTACAATTACAGGTACAATGTATACTTGTTTCTGTATAGATTACCTATCTGACATTTTGTACAACAATTGCTGGTAGATTTCTGAATTGTGCAGGAGATTGACTGGCTATATACAGTATGGAATCCCAAGTTCCACAAATTGAATTTCAGTATTATAATAATGCAGTTCATAATATTCCTCCACAAAACTTGTATTTATTGTCTCCTATTTCTTCATATGTTGTTGCTGTTGTTCAATAGTTAAGTAAAGAATAAATAAAGGATAGATTCATCATCAGGTACTGGATATTACAGTTGGTTATGAAAGTTGCATTCAGAAGCAATGTATATCTAGTTGCAGGAGCAAAAAAAAAAATAGACAGCAATAGAGTAATCTGCCCTCTTCCAGATGAATTGAGACTCATAATTGCTTCTGGATGAGAAAGCCTGTGGGTATTTAGGAATGATTAAAAAGTTGATTCTGCAACAGGTGGTATAACTCAGTACATTTCAATTTTAAAAAAATATATGTATGTTCTGGGCAAAACAAACTCTTAACAATTTACTTAAGAAATAAGGGCAATCATATGAACAAATTATTCACTTAATTGTATGCAGAAAACAATGTACAATCATATAATATATTGGTTTGCCTACATGGTGCTTTAAGGCTTATCTGTAATGCCTAGTTGCCCCATCCCTAAAATGGGACAGCAACCATTTTTTGAGGGTGGAAACAGACATCAGTCTTTAATTGCATCCCTCCCATTGCAAATTGGACTTCCAGGGCATTTTCTTTCTGTAGTCTGAAAGTAATATCTTTTGTCTTAGGTCAAGTGTTAGATCAAGTATTAGACTCTTAAGTCAAGAGTCACTTTGTGTGAGATGGATGACTATATACAGTCAGGTCCAGAAATATTGGGACATCGACACAATTCTAACATCTTTGGCTCTATACACTACCACAATGGATTTGGAATGAAACAAACACAATGTGCTTTAACTGCAGACTGTCAGCTTTAATTTGAGGGTATGTACATATTCCTACACCGTTCACCTGAGTTGGATGTACATACCCTCAAATTAAAGCTGACAGGCTGCAGTTAAGGCACATTGTGTTTGTTTCATTCCAAATCCATTGTGGTAGTGTATAGAGCCAAAGATGTTAGAATTGTGTCGATGTCCCAATATTTCTGGACCTGACTGTATATAGTCATCCATCTCACACAAAGTGACTCTTGACTTAAGAGTCTAATACTTGATCTAACACTTGACCTAAGACAAAAGATATTACTTTCAGACTACAGAAGATGTACATACCCTCAAATTAAAGCTGACAGGCTGCAGTTAAGGCACATTGTGTTTGTTTCATTCCAAATCCATTGTGGTAGTGTATAGAGCCAAAGATGTTAGAATTGTGTCGATGTCCCAATATTTCTGGACCTGACTGTATATAGTCATCCATCTCACACAAAGTGACTCTTGACTTAAGAGTCTAATACTTGATCTAACACTTGACCTAAGACAAAAGATATTACTTTCAGACTACAGAAGATGTACATACCCTCAAATTAAAGCTGACAGGCTGCAGTTAAGGCACATTGTGTTTGTTTCATTCCAAATCCATTGTGGTAGTGTATAGAGCCAAAGATGTTAGAATTGTGTCGATGTCCCAATATTTCTGGACCTGACTGTATATAGTCATCCATCTCACACAAAGTGACTCTTGACTTAAGAGTCTAATACTTGATCTAACACTTGACCTAAGACAAAAGATATTACTTTCAGACTACAGAATCTCACACAAAGTGACTCTTGACTTAAGAGTCTAATACTTGATCTAACACTTGACCTAAGACAAAAGATATTACTTTCAGACTACAGAAGATGTACATACCCTCAAATTAAAGCTGACAGGCTGCAGTTAAGGCACATTGTGTTTGTTTCATTCCAAATCCATTGTGGTGGTGTATAGAGCCAAAGATGTTAGAATTGTGTCGATGTCCCAATATTTCTGGAACTGACTGTAAATGTGACAAACAAACAAACAAACAAACAGGGTTCTTGTCTGTCTTAGCTGGTGCGCTTTCCTTCCCAACAGGCTAACTGGAGCAGTTCATTGGCCATTTGATAGAGGAAGGGAAGCACCTTCAACTGAACCAATAGTTGCCCTTATTTTAATAGCTTCTAAGACTTTTAGTAATATTTAAAACAGTCATTGTGCTGATGATAAAAGGAAGGTCTAGAAGGTATTACAGTACAAAACAGCTTCAAGAAAGGAATTTGATCTTAAAAGTTGTTGTTGTACTTGCATATATATGCATGTTATGGTTTAACTTTCTAAATATAAACTTTGTATAGATATATTCTACACATACAGGTAGTTCTCACTTAACAACCACAATTGGGACTAGTAACTCAGTTGTTAAGCAAAGCAGTTGCTAAGTAAAACTGCGACTATAGTTATGAATTTACTTCAGCTTTCCTTTGCTTTACAGACCTGTGAAAGTTGTAAATGCAAGGATTGGTCGTCAAGTTACTTTTTCATCACCATCATAACTGTGAACAGTCGCTGTATGAGACAGTTGCTAAATGGGGACTACCTATACAATGACACACATATAAAAGTATGTAAGCGCACTAAGACCTTCCCCCAGGAAGTAAAGCAATTAGCTGTTGATTTCCTGGAATAGAAAGGTGGCAGGGCACAGCAGCAGGATAAATCTCCAATGGGAGTATGTGGTAGCCTGCATTCTGGACTGAATATCTTGCAAGATGTTGCCACAGTGTCTCAGTTTATTTAAGGCAGGAGAAGCTTAAACTGTAAGCATGAATGTTCCCTAAGTCTTTTCAACCCAGTCGGCATCAGTACTACATTATAATATGTGTATGTGTGTGTACTACAGTGTTTTTTGTAATGTAAATTTTTATCAATTGTTTGAACTGATTCTCTTAAGTGCAAATTTTTATGAGACTTTTTTTACAAGAAGCATTATACAAATATTTTAAATAGATAAATGACATAAATTATACAACTGATAAATAATAGCATTGTACAAGTTTTCCAAATTATTCAGAAGGGTTTCAGATCTCCCATGAGCACAGCATCCCTCTGCTATTCATGAATATGGCCATATTTCTTCTAGGCTTTGGTGGAAGCCTGAAAAAAAGATGTGGGTGCTTTACTGAGTCGTGTAACTTTTTTTTCAGGATCACACAAAGTCCAAAACACTTCTGAAACATTTTTGAAGCCTGTACAACTCTTATTAAGTTAGAATGCCATAAAATGTTAAAATTAATAAATTGGAATGTCTTTTGGCAGAGAATGAGAAAGGAAGATACACAAATGGATTTCTTGTCAGCTAAATAGAAAAGAAGGACAAAAACAAACAAGGGTCAACAGAAATAATCTGACAAAGTCTCATGAGATTTTAAGATTTAAATTCTTACATAGTGATCCTCTTCTAATACAATAAAAGCAACTGTGGTGATTCATAGTATTTCATTAATCCTATTTGGCTTTGCCCCTAGCTTCTTTGCTATTATATCCAAACTGGTGTTACTGGTTTTTCTACTTTTAGCCAACCAGGTTTATAAGCCATACAATTGTTCTTGAAAAGAAATATGCACAAATCATCAGTTGATAATATAAAATAAAACAAATGCATACTTATTACTGAGCTCTTGTATGTCAGATGCTTTAAATCCCCACTTCTTTGCTAGTTTGTCTTGTCCATCAGCTGGTTCAAAAAACGTGATCTAAGAAAGGGTAAAAGAATAAAATATATATATCACTCTGTATGCAAGGGAATTTAGCAAATGATTATTCTATATTTTAGTTTTGTTAGTGGTAGAAATTAGGTCATATTAAATGTTTCATTTTGTTTTACTTTTAAATAGGCAATTTTCTTTTTGTATATCCTAAATAATATGATATATGTGTGTGTGTGTGTGTGTGTCTCCGCTTGTAAATATGAGCAATAAAACTAATATATTTACAAAAAGGGTTCTTTCACTGCTGTCAAATATTGCATTTGGCTCTGTATCAAGCAACTCCTTCTGTGTGATTTCTTAAGAAGCTGGATGCCAAGTTAATTGGACCATTCTCCATTGTGGCACAAATCAGTCTGATTGCTTTGCACTTGCAGCTTCCAGACACCTTGAAGATAAATCCATTTTTCCATTGTTTTTACTGCTGTTAGGACACCATTGGTAGATGGGGAGGAAGAGTTCAAAGTAGACTGCATTCTGGATTCACAGTACAGGATGGGGCCATCCAGGGCATTGGAGGAGACTAAATGTCAGGATCTGCGCAAGCTAGAACCTTCGATTGCTTTTAATTTAGTTTTCACAATGTATATTAATTGGTAAATTTTTGCAATCTAATTGCAAACCGCTTGCTTAACCTGCCATTGAAGTTAGAAGGAAGAGGGAGGAGAGAATGCCAGGTGCTGTTATCTTTACACAGGCATCTCCAAGGCCAAGCGCTGTGAGA